TAACCACCAGCCCCCACTCCCCTCCCAGAGCCGGGGAGGGAACCCAGGAGTCCTGGCTCCCAGCCCCCCTGCTCTAACCACCAGCCCCCACTCCCCTCCCAGAGCCGGGGAGGGAACCCAGGAGTCCTGGCTCCCAGCCCCCCTGCTCTAACCACCAGCCCCCACTCCCCTCCCAGAGCCGGCGCGGGAACCCAGGAGTCCTGGCTCCCAGCTCCCCCTGCTCTAACCACCAGCCCCCACTCTCCTCCCAGAGCCGGGGAGAGAACCCAGGAGTCCGGGCGCACCTGGAGAGGTCGAGGCTGTGGGGTACCCGCGCCAGGTCGCTGACCAGCCCCTTCTTGAGGAAGAGGCGGATGATGTTGTTCATGCCGTTGTGCTGCGTCTTGGCGGCCGCGCTGCTGTAGAAGCTGGAGGTGGAGGGGCAGGACTCCATGATGGTGCTGATGATGCACATCACGGCCTGCAGCCTGGGGAGGGAGAGGAGGGATCAGCGCCGCGCCACCCCTACTCTGGGACACCCCCCCACGCACCCAAACAGGCACCGGTGTCTGCCCTGGGAGATCACCCCCAGCGAGGTGCTGGTGTTAGTGGTGGGATACCCCAATACGTTCTTCCCAGCAGTCAAGGGGGGGCTGTTCTCCTGCCCCTCAGTGCGGTGCTGCTGGCAAAGCGCCAGTCGCCCAGAGCTCCCAAAATGGGACTTGACACCCCTTTGAGCTGCATGGAGGCAGATCCCCTCCCCACCCCAAGCGACTGGCTCAGGCTCTCGGCACACTCCGGCAGCGTCGTCAGGGCTAGAAACCTGCAGAGGGGATTTGGGAGCCACTGTATCATCCCAGGAGCCTTTACCAGGTCCTGACCCCCCTCCCTCTCCCCGAGCCGGGCAGAGATCCCAGGGCTGCCAGCTCCCACTCACCTGGCATGTTTCTCGGTGCTCTCCGCCATGGCCAGCGCCCGGCCCAACGCCGCCTTCACCTCGTTCACCAGTGCCACCTGGGCGTCCGTGCCGCTGCCCGCTGCAGCCAGGCTGGCGAGGAAGAGACGGGCCAGCGCGGGGGTGTCCTTGTCCTCTGCATTCTGGGTGTGGGGCAGCAGGTGGTCCAGGACAAAGGCCAACACACTGCAGTCCTGCCGGGACATGGGGAGGGGTGAGCGGGTCCCCACGCCACGCCCCAGAACCCACCAGATCCCACTTCCCTCCCAGAGCCAGGGAGAGAACCCAGGTGTCCAGACTGCCCCTCACCTCCTTGATGAGCTCGGACTGGCCCACGGTATAGCTGTAGTTGGCGATGAGGGCGGCGATGCCCACATAGGAGCGCACCAGCTCGGCCAGCAGTCGCAGGATGGTGGAGGTGGGCATGAGCGGCTTGCTGCCCTTGGCCTTCTGCTTGCCCTCCTCCGTCGCCTTGTCTCCCTCCTTGTCCTTCCGGCCCTCCCGCGACTCCTCCGGGGTAGAGGCTGCGGGCGGGGGGGGGAGATGGGTTAGGTGGAGGGTGCACAGAAAGGGGTCCCCTGGGAAGCTGGTGCCACCAGAGATCCCCAAGGGTGCCCCACCCCAGCTATGGGGGACAGCAGAGGGGGGTCCCTGGGGGTGCCACCCGTGCCGGCTGTCGGGGGCAGCAGAGGTGCCCCACCCTGGCTGGGGGAGGGATCCTGGGGACCCCCGGCAGTATTGGGGTACAGGGGATCCCCTAGCCCAGGAAGTCACTGTTACCTTCTCCTTGAGGGGTCCCAGATGGCGGCGTCTCGGCGGCTGCTCCGTCTGCGCCAAACACCTGGGCCTGGGAAAGGAGAGGAGTGGTCAGCACCAGGTCACCACGGTGCGGTGCGCCCCCCCCGCGCGGCGCGGCTGGACTCACAGTGATGGCGAAGCCGCTCTGCGAGTCGAAGTCGCTGCCCTGGCGGGTGAGGGAGCGGTACTGCTGGTACACGTCGTCGCCCATGTCCGACAGCAGCTGGCTCACCTCCTGGCTGGCCGTGACCGGCTTGGCCTCGCTCTTCTCAGCTGCGGAGAGGGGGGGCAGGTGAGACAAGGCTTGGCCGGCCCACAGGGAGCCTGGCAACGC